TTCGCCTCGACGGCATCGATTTCTTGAGAGTGTACGGAATATGTGAATACGTGATTTATTCATTGTGAAGCGCAGTGCATGCAAATTTAGGACTTCAATTTACGATGCCTGGCAGTAGCAACAACAGCTCACAAGCAAAATATACTTAAGTGAAATATGAACGCACTAACATAGCCATAAACATGTTCATAAGTTTGCAACTCATAAGAAAATAGCTGCCATCACGTCCTGTTGCACATGTGAAGCGCAGAGCAGCTGCTGCCACCGGCATCCTTTTCACTATTTCACTTGTAATCAAGTTTCTCTATCGATTCACGTCATTTGTTTTCTATGTAACTCAGGTTGATCTTGATATGTAACGAGCTCTTCAAGCTGCTTTCCCTGTCCATTTCTGCAGCGTCCTACAATGGCTAACTGAAAGAGGCTTAAAAAGAATACCATTCTCATCAAATATTAACCAGGCAACCCTTTTGCACAAAGGGAAAGCCTTATTGTTACATTCATATTTACCTCATTCAATTAATTATTCTTAAAGCGGCGCAGAGCTGAGTGCGAAGTTCAGTAATTGAACATGCTTTAACTTTCAGTTTCTGACAGATAACAAATGTGTGCCACAATACAGTCACATGCAAATGAAAATAAATACAGCCCGTGCACGTTGCACGTTGACACTGCACGACCTCTGCAGACAGATCAACCTGACACTTTTACTAAATGGAAAAAATATAAACAGACTCTCAGCGCGTTGCAGTCGGGCAAATAAAGTATTAAAATATTTTATAAATATTCATGTTGCGCTGGCTCACATTATTGTTGGCAACAATATAAAAAAGTCAACTGCACTATCTTTTTCCAGCCACGCCCCAGCAAACCCGTTAATTGAATTAAGCCACCCACTAGCGGCCACATAGACCAATTGTCAGCAGAAAAAATGGTGTACAAATTAAAGTTAAAGCTCAAACACAGCAGAAATGATAATATAAACAAATAGAGAAGGATGTTCCTAAAGTAGTTGACTCTGAGATACCCTGTATGCCAGCGAAGCTCAAATATAAGTAGAGTATACAACCAGTTAACATTTCAATTAGGCGTACTACTAGGTATCTCAAAGGCAATTACCAAGTTCAATAGGCAACCTTAATATAGTCAATTAATCGCACAGAAAAAAGTATTTCGAAGTTGTCACTAGCTGACAAACTGAATACAAATTTACTTTGAAATAAAGCTGAATACAATATATGCACAAAAGTCAAATTGTTTGGCTGTATCCCTTTTTGTATCTTTTTGGGCCCGTAGAAATTGAGGGCGCAGATCCTTTGTAACGTGGCTTATGCTTTCCGCTTTTTATGGGCCAACAGGGCTTTGAGGTAGCTGGCGGGATGAGTGATAAGCAAAAGGGTCGCAATTAGTCGTTGTCCTTTCGTCTTGTTAGCACTGAGCTGCGTCTGTTTTGCATTGGAGCACGTTCTCAATTTGCTATTAGGTTTCATTGGACAGCCAGTAGGAGGCCATTTAGTGCTCTGCTTTGTGCTGCTCATATTTTAAGCGGATGGGGCTGGTGCGAATCGTAGAACTTTTGTTCATTCGATACGCATAAAAATCAAACTACAATTAGAAACAGACTCCAAGTCACTCTGGGGTTCCACTTGGAGCTATTAAACGAGAAATCCTAATACACACACACATAGAGAGAGAGAGAGAGAGAGAGAGACAGACAGCCAAAGGCTAGCAGGGACTTTGGCTTAGAATGCTTAGGCAGCACTATATGAATTGCCAGCAGTAGACCTCGGTCAGCTGGGCACATTCCATTGTTTGTTTGCTTTGTTTGAGGCAACGTATCAAATTATCTATTTATGTATAAGACTAGCCATGTATTTACAGCTTAACTAACAGCAGGATAAACATTCGGGGGCTCAATCAAACTGTTTGTGGCAGTCGACGAGGGTGGAAAATTTCGAAAATATATTGACTAAGTCGCACGGGCCATAGTTTGTCGGCTTGTATTGTTGGCCTTTTTTGTGATTTATTTGGCTAAGCTGTCCCAAAGCCAAGCAGTGCACGAAATCCTGCACACAAATAAGGCCAAAGCCGCCAACGCTAATCAAGTCCGGCACGGCTATGCATGCTCCTTTGTACATATTCAATTCGCACGCTGCGCCCGCTGGACACTTCATTTGCCATGGAGTCGAAATGCCACCATGTATCATTGTATTGGATGAGACGCACGAGCGCGCAGCGCAGACGTTTGCCAGATTCCTGCAGCCTAGGTGACAGGCGCTTGACACATGCGGGTCACCGGACAAAGTGTAACAAAATAAGAAATCTGCACAGCAAATTCGTCCTGTGCCTGGGGACGTCTTAAACTTTTAGTGCAAATGAGTTAATTAGCTGATTTAGCTGAAGCTCTTTAAGCGGTCACAAGCTCATTAATCATTTGCATAAACACTCGAGGTAGCGCAGGGCAACGATCACCCATTTGGTTTGCCTATAAATTGCACATCATTATTTAAATGTGAGCACACACTCCCACACACTCCCAGACACTCGCACACGGCTCACGCTTTATCGGCGAGCGGCAGGCGGAGACATGTTCTAGGCATTGTAAGCTGATTGCGGCATTTATGGTTGCCACGCCCATACGCCCACACTCACCTGGCTGCGCTGTCTCTGTCGGCTGTCTGTGGTATGTTTTCTGGCGCTCATTAAAATTTATATTCAAACATTTTACAAATACATATTAACAAACCTTTTACGCGAGTGCCTTTAATCACACGGATTTTGTGGCCACACGCAACGGCGTTGCTGCCGCACCGCCCTACCCCAGCGAGCGGAAGTATCAGGTAAGGCTGCTTCATCTTTTTCGTGTTGTTTGCGGAAAAATGCCAGCTGTGTGAGTGCTTTGATAAAGCTCTTGGCACGAGCCTGAGTGCCGCCGCCCTCAGAGATGCCGTCGCATAAATCGAGCGGAAGCGCATGCATAATAAGAGGCGAGTTCCGAGTACTGAGTACCGAATGCCTACAGCCAATTGCAAAGTGGGCCGCATTCGTATTGACCATGGCCATGAACTTTATTTGTGCATAACCCTGCTAGGATTACGTAATGAAGGCACTGCCAGACAAACGTCTCGAAATGAGTTCACACACTGCCACTTGCCACTTGCCACTTGCCACTTGCTGCTTGTCGCTTGAGCACTTGACATTGCCCATCATCTCCGAGATGAGCTTGTCCTCGGTGGGCGTGACCGTGGGCGTGACCGTGCTTAAGCTGCTTAAAGTGCAGCAAGTTAAGCAATTTGCATTTGCAATTCGTAATTTTTGACCATGGCTGGGCGTTCGCTATTGTGATTACCAAAGCGCTAAGCTGAGAGTCCTCAGTTCGGCTTCAAACAATTGGCGGGCAAAGTTTTTGTTTGGCTGCGACAAAAGTTTCATTTGGTCGCCTGGTGTAGTTTACACCAGCTAACCGCTGCCGTCAACGAAATTTTAACTTTATTTAGAACTCATTAAAAACTTTTGCATAATTGCATAAATTTGCAAAGTCAATGGAAAACTTTAGGTAAACGGCGCTGCCCAAGACGACAACAACAGCCCACTTCGAGCAGGGGGCGTGCCAGCCTGTTGTTAACTGCAAGTATTTAAGTGCGCATTTAAGATGTTCAGCAACTGCGTCCACATAATAGAATTGACTAATCAAATTTCATAACAACTTCACAATCTACCAAAGATTCATATAAATCAAATATCTCAGCAACTGCTGCGAGCTGTTGGCATTGCTTATGCAAATCGGTGGGGCTGGATCAGGTTTGCTATAGCTCTTTTAAGCATAACTTTTGCCTGGTGGGCCGCTGACAGAAAGGCGAATAAATCAAGACGATTGCTTATTGAAATATATGTTTTTTAACCGAACAATGCCGGGTAGCATCTTTGTTTATTTATAAGCACAGGCATGTATATATATCGTATATATCCATAGAAATGCTATAGCAACAGCATCAGAGGAAAGCTTTCGACAGCACTATCTTATGTACAAAAATATTCATGTTAGCTGATAACGGCACCCAAAGCTTTTCTAACAGCGCGCGACTAACATAAAAAGCTTTTTTAACATAAAGCTTACTTGCAGCTTCTCTGCAATTGTAAGCAGGTAATTGGTAACGAATTTTATGCAGCTTTCATGTATCAAGAGCTTTTGATACACTAACGTGATGTATCGAGGTATATGGAATTTGAGCAGGATCTTGTAACAGGCAGAAGAGTTCCCCGCCAGGATAGTAAAGCACAACTGGACGATTTGGTCTCGTAAGCTATGCATACGATTATTAAACTTTTTTGAATACTCCTCTTCCTCTTCTATTAAAGGATACACTAGAGTAGACGTAGCAATGCAGGACTCCTACTCAAGTGCTTCGATTAATATTTAATTTAACGCAAATGAAATAGCAAAAACTTAAAAGCTGTTTATTGTTTATGTTGACTGAAAGTTGCTTGACTTAGTATAATGTAATACAAGTGAAGGCTGGATTAAATAAGCTGTAAGATTTCATATATTTTCTACTTTTCACAACACAGGTCTGCTACTGTTGCGTGTCTATATTAGAGTGAATTATATATTATTTTCACTTGATCTCTTTAGCACAAAGCCTAGAGTGATATCGGATCATCATTTCTTATGTGATCCCAACTATTAACTCTTGTATTATATATCGAGATACAAAAATTAATTATACAGTTGTATGACTTCAATTTACATGCCTTGCGGCCGTCTTTCTCTGAGTCGGATCTGGTGGATCGCAGCGTATGTTCTGCGATTCAACCGTCTGCTATAATTTTAATGAACTTTCTTTTAGCTAAAATCAATTTTTGATAGATCGTTGCCGTTGTAAATAAAATTATACTTCACATATTTTACAATACGTTGCCGCTGATAAAAATATATTTATATTTATTTAATGCGTAAAAGTTAATACATATATGCAACTATAATAAATATATTAACATAAACTGGAGTGTGTAAGTCTTAATTGCTATCAATCGATTATATTCTTACTGACAGATGAGCCTGCTGCATGACCTTATATACTGATATATAAACTGATATATACACATATATATATACTGATATATATCAGAAGATATAAGATATAAAATAAGACAAGATGGAAAAAGAAAATTGAAATGATCGAATTAATTACAAAGCCAATACATATCACTGACTTGGCTCAATAGTGCCCTTCACCCATCCATTCAATCCCAATCCCAAGCAAGAGGCTTGCGATTGTGAATGAACAGTGCCACATTTTGTGGGAAAGGCTTTCGTTGTTCTAACCTAAGTCGCTGCGCACCAACTTGCACTTAAAATACTAAATTCACCACAATAAATGTCGGCCTAAAAGTATGCTTATGCCTAACATACGCGTAGATATCGTGCTCTGGCCTAAAAGTAGTCTGACGAATCAGTGGACTTGGACAACGACATGCCTCGTTGCGGCGCAAGTGCTGCCACCGACTGCGTGCGTTTCTTCAAGCAGCTGAATGTGTACCAGTGGTCGCTGATGCCGAACTGCTCACCGTCCTCCAGGCTGATGGGCAGCGTGCGATTTAGAGTCTCCGGCAGCAATAGGGTCAGGCAAGCGCCCACCAACGAGATTACGCCCAGAATGATTTCCGGCAGCGGCGAGAAAACTCTACGCGTGTCCAATATGTACACACTGAAGAATGTGAACGCATAGCCCATGACATGCACTGCGCCCACGCCTTGGCCTCGCACACAGGTGGGAATCAGCTCCGTGGCATACTGGGCGCCCGAATTATAGGCCATCGTGACTCCAAAGCGTCCAATCATTGATAGCGTCACCAGCACAGTGGTCGCTGTTGAAGTGGAAGGAACAATTAAATTAAATCTTGTGTGAGGAGCTCAAAAGCGAAAATAGTAACAATATATTATGTAGGTCGAAAGCCTAGCCTAGTTTATAAGCTTCACTAAGTGTTAAGGAAACGATAGGAAAGGCACGAAAATAAGTTTGTTGGAACTGGTTTTTTGGCACAAAAGCTTTGCAGTGACTTACTTTGATTGTTGGCGGTAGAACCGGTATAGAGAATAAAGCCCGACACCGAAATGAAAATGCCACTGAGGAGCAGCGATATGGAAGTCATTGCCTTGCGTCCGATGCGATCTTGCAGCGCAATGATCATCAGGCAGGCGGGCAGAATTGAGGAAGCGCTCAGTGTGAACATCATAAATGGCGAAATGCCAAGGCCTTGAACGTTGCGAGATACGGCGTCGTAGCACAGGGTAATGACCATGCTGTGTGAGGGTGACTGAATAGATACAGACTGCAGCGCATAGAAGCGGACTACTCACGATTTGAAGAAGAGTATCAGCGTGTTGCGGCGTAGTCGTGGCGTTTTGAAGAGTCCCAAAATATTCGGCTTCGATGTCTGCATATTTTTCTGACTTACTTTGCAATCCTCGATGAACTGTGCATAGGCACTATCGTCGATTTGACGGCGATTGATTTTGGCAACTCGTTTCAAACAGGCCACGGCCTTGTCATATTTGTGCTTCGAGATCAGCCACTGGACGCTCTCCGGCACAATGAAATAGAAGAACGGCACCAAGCAGCACGGCAGCGAGATGGCAAGTAGGAAGCCACGCCAATTGCCCATAAACACTGCAATCCAGGGCACGCCCATGGAGCCCAAGCAGTAGAAGACGCCGATGCAGATGGTCAGGCCCACAGTGCGCAAAGATGGTCGCATGTATTCCATAACTTAAAAATGGTTCATTGATTAAGTTACATTTTAATTTTGGCTAGGAATTCTCAACTCACCTAAAATGTACATCATCAGAAAGTTTGCGTCGGTGGCCAAGCCAGCAATCAGACGGAATATGCAGAAGAGCGTCAGGTTCTTGCTGAAAATTGTCAACACGTTCCCCATCATGCCAAGGATATTGGACAGAACTAGCATGGGCACGCGACCCATGATGTCCGCAAGGAAGCCCAGAACTAAGGTGCCAATCACGGAGCCCACAAAGAACATGGACTGGCCCAGGCTGAGCATCCAGGCCTTCCGGCAGATCCAGTGCATTTCGTTGCTGAAACTTTGATAGCCCATATAGGGCTCATAACGATAGCTGTGGCAGATAGCTGAGTGGTTCGCATTGATGTCCAGCGGGCTGCAGCTGGATACGTTTGGTACCGGCGCTAACGGGTCCAAGCCATCTGCACACCTGTGCGTTTGAATGATAAATATTCAGTATACGCCATGTTATTCATTTGCGTCTCATATATACCAATACTTGGGCACAAAGCTGATGATCGTCTGGGAATAGTAATGCAAGGCCGAAAGTACATTTAGGAGGCTGAACAGTAACAGCATGATCCACTGCAGTCGACCAAAGTCGCCACATTTTTCCAGCATTTTATCCACTTCAATCATTTTGTTGTCGTTTTCGCTTACTGCAAGCTGCTGTCACATTCAGTTGTTATTTAAAGTATTCCAGCGCACTCTATATGCAGGACTTTTCTTCTCTGAACTTATTTCTGACAAGCCAATGGCCCAACTGTATCACAACACTTGTAAAACGTGCCTTACATCTTAATACAGTTTGCCTTAAGCGACGTGGCGCTATGTTTTCTTAATTAGTACAGGCAATTAGCGTTCTTAAAACGTCGAATGACTCATCTTTGTAGAAGCAAAAAATACAAAAATTTCATAATGTTAGTTTGACGGATTTTACTGAGTGTACAAATTTTGGAAGCCTTAAGGTAGTCTTGCAACCGTTCCAACGGCTTTCATGATCACTTATTATTCACAGTCACGGTTACAGTCCCTTTTATATGCCAACTGATCGTAGGTTGTATGAAAGTGAAAAATGAAGCAATTAAACAGAGTTTGGTGTTTGGCTCTTAGGATGTTGAATATTTTACGTTTACACAGAACATTAAAATCCCTTTTTTTATTTATGACACTTTCATTTAGTCGAAAGCATATATTAAAATGTTTTGCTGATCGTGCAAGGGAGAGGATTTAATTAGATACTTTTCTTGAGTTGTTAGCCAATTACTGTAAGCTTTAAACTTTGTTGACACTCATCCACTTGCCACTTTTTACAATTAGGTGCACTTGATAGATTGAGTTTTTTTGTGCTATATTATTTAAGCTGTGTTACGTCGCAGCTATGACTGAGCTGACTTATCGAATCAGCATGTGAGTAAGAAATGATTACGTGGATTGTTTTCTTGTTTCTCGTACCAAAATTAACGATAAGAAACAGATTTTCAAAAACAAATTTAAAACAGCTGAGGACCGTATGAATTGAACCCGCACGGGGAACAGGCATCAACAGCTGCTACGTTGATAATTCGATCAGAATAGTCGAAACGCGAACCACAGCACGCCGAAGTCAAGTTTAAAATGTCGAATGGTCGGGCCCGGACCCGGACCCGGGCCCGTGCCCAGGCCCTGGCGACTCTCAGACGAAATCAAATCAAGTGCAATGCATTGGACGCGATGTCGCGTCGTTTTAAATAGATAAATATAGATTTTGTCCGTTGAAATTGTCGAGCTCGAAATTATTTAGCATGCGATGCGATTCGCTCAAAGTTATTATATAGCTAACAGTATTTATGCGTGCGTATCGCTCGATGTCGCGTCGACAATTTAATGCCACCCACCCGCTGCATTCTTTTTATTTGCAAATAGCCAAGACTCGCCGAGTAAACAAGCCACTTGCGTACAGCAAACAAGATGCGGGCATTCGTATACATTGTTATTATCAGATCAACAAATTAACATGGGAACTATATCAACTCGCGAATAGAAACTAAGAGTTGCGGACAAGTAAGTTTATTATTGGCAACTCTCCTTGAGTTAAATATACAAAGCCTAATTCCGTGATGCAAGAAATGTATTCGTGCCTCAGGATTCGGCTGATTGAAGTGAATTGTTCACTTAATTTTGCCATAAAGCTTACCACATTATTCACTTTCGGCTGAAACACTTTTACTTCTTTTTGGTAGAAAATGATTCTAGTTAAAGCGCTTTTAGGCAACTGACTAGCAAAAATACATGCGCAACATTTTTGACTCTATTCGAGTTCGTGCTCATTCGTGCCATTGCAAATAGTTAAATGCCTGTTTAATCAACTGTCACTCATTACAAATAGTGAGTCAATTCTGAACTATTCCACTTGTTGTTTGAAAGACAACATGTGAACTAAGCCAAGCTAAGCAGTTAGAGCGTTGAAAATATGAAAAATACAGGAAGTTGTAGTCACGACACTGTTTAATAATAATATGGTTAGTCCAGAACATGACCATGAAAGAAAGTCGTTGTATTATCCACAATTATTCATACAAATAGTTAGTTTCATCTACCCATTAAAGTTGCTGTGTAATTTGTTAAGAGCATACATAGTATGTTTGTACTTTGCATATTGCAAAACAAATTTGGAACTCAAACTGCAAATCCTTAAATTGCTGTCGATGAAATTGGTTCTCGTTTGGGAAACAACGAAAGGCACTGGCCAGTCTCTTGCTTAACGAAAGCTTCTGCCTCCGCCAGATTTTCCGGCAGCTTTCTAAAAATCAAAAAATTACTTTATAAATAATTCAGAGTTGAGTCAACTGCGAGCATACCTGTTCAAAGTTTCCGGCAGAGTTAGACATATGCCAGCGCCTATGAACATTAAACAACTAATGAATATAGATGGCAGAGGCTTATAGAACTTGGCCAGGTAGATCACATAGAAGACTAGCGAGTTGGAGGCCAGCCCAACGACGTGTATGTTGGAGAGCGCACGCCCCCGCACGCTTGTCGGTATAATCTCGGCGGCATATTGGATTTCCGCATCATAGGAGACCGTAACGCCATAGCGACCCAGGCCAATCATGACGGCAAGCAGAAGAGCATTTTCTTTCGGATCCAGGAAGGCAATCAGGAAGCCCGTCACAGTGGTTATGATGCCACCCACCAGCAACGCTCCGCAGGCCATGCCCTTGCGACCGATACTATTTTGGAGCAGCAGTATAGTGCAGCCCGCTGGCAAATAGTTAATGGACGTGTAAGAGAACAGCTTGAAAGGCGAAGTGCCCAGTCCCTCCATATTGCGATTCATCACATCATAGGACAGTGTAATGATGACGCTGAATAAGATCATAATATCAGAGGTTTGTACCATGAGCTAATGGCAATAACTCACGATTTCAGCAGCAGGCAGAGCGTGCAGCGCCGCAGATTAGGGGTGCGGAACATTCCCAGGAATGTGTCCTCATCGGTTGTCGGCTTCAGTTCATCCTTCATTTTCTCACGATAGTAACTGATGAATTTGCTGAACACAGAGTCCTCCACTTGTCGACCATTGAACTTAGCTACCCATTTGAGACACTGCACGGCCCGATCGTATCGCTGCTTGGTGAGCAGCCACTGAGCGCTCTCACAGATGAACAGCGGATAGGCGAGCACTGCCAGAGCGGGCAACGAAGCTAGCCACAAGTAATGCCGCCAATCGCCAATCCAGATGGCTAGCCATGGTGAGCTCATCAGTCCGAAGCAGTAAAAGAAGGCGAGTACAATGTTAAGTCCAAAGGTGCGATGTTTGGGACTGAGGTACTCGAATACTGCATAGAAGAAGCTGCCAGTTAGTGTGAAACCCACTGTTATAGAGACGGAACACTCACCCAAAATATACATCAAATAGTACATGGTATCGGTCGAGAGTCCGGAGACAAAGCGGGAAAACGCAAATAGTGGTAAGCTGTGGACGAACGAGGTAAGGAAATCTCCCGATGCACCTGCCAATGTGGCCAGCAGCAAGGCCGGCAGACGTCCAATGCGATCGGATAGATTTCCAAATGTTATGGTGCCAACAACTGAGCCAATGAAGAAGAACGATTGGCCTACGGCCGAGTGATGCGACTTGTCGCACACCCATTTTAGCTGCAATAAGCGATATGACATATGTGAGGTTTCTAATTAGACATTTAAGTACCTCAGTTGTGATGCTCTCGTAGCCCTGTTCTCGCATGAATATCCAATCGTCGCATTGTCCACTTTTTGCTGCAATGCCCGTACCATTGACCACTCTCTCAAGTTGGGTGCACGACTTATAGGTGACATTTGCGTATATCAAGCGAAGATCTGAAGAGGTCAGATTCTCTAGATCTTCATGGTAACACCTAAACATAGCGCACTATTAAATATAATCCTCGAACTCAATCGCATTGACTTACCAATGCTCTGGAGTAAAAGTGATGAGAGTTTGCGAAAAGTAATGCAGCGAGCTGAGTATGTTCGTGTAGCCATATAGAAGTAGTATCACATGCTGAAAGGGCCCGAATGCCCCGCAGTTCTCTAGTACGCTGGTAAAGTCCATGTGTGCATCAGTCGGACATCTGCTAACAAGTTTTATTTATGCACTAAATAAGCTCACTGAGCGTTGCTGCTTAAGCACACAATCAGTGCCGTAAAATTGAAAGCTAACTATCATCGAGGCACATGTTTTACACTTATCAAAACAGCTGACCAACTTTCGTAACTGGGACGGCGAAACTCTGTCAACTGCTTTCATATCCGTAGGGTGGCTAACTCTTAAGTCAGGCAGTTGCACAGTGAATATTGGGAAATAGTCAAGACTTGAATATAAATAAAAAAAATTAAAATATATTTAATTAATGAATAAAAATGGATACGGGAGACAAGTAATTTGAGGCGGACTCATATAAAGTTATTGAGACATTAAGAATAATCAGCGGACTTGACCATCTCTCTCTCTCTTCAGCAAGCAAAGGTTAAAGGTGATTACTTATTTTACATTTTATTTATTTTTTTCTTTTAATAGTCTTAACCATTACTATAATGTTTTCCTATAAATATATAGTATATTCCACTAATTAATATATAATTTTAAGCCAATCATACAAGCTGGAAATTCAGACAGACTGAAGCGAGAAAGAGCTCAAAGTATATATAAACATGATCAGGATGACAAGCTGAGTTGAAAACTGCATAACCTGAAGACTTGGTTTTAAAATATTTAATTCTGTATACCATACCATAATACGAGCTAATAATTCAATATATATGCCAATATTAATTAATAATTTTAAACATCAAATTTGGTGTGTAGAATCCAAAGATTAATTTTATGTATTTCGAATTATGGACAACTCCCAATTTGAGAACAGTAAAACGTATTTTGAAGTGTAGAGACTTTACATTTATTAAGCAAGTGCTTAAAGCTTTTCAATAAATTATTCTCCTTTCTAAAGCCAATACGACAAGGCGCAGCAGCTACTGCCGTAAAGTACTCAATTTATATACATTTACATGGCTGTGTGTGTGTGCGTGTGCTTGGTGTATTATTGTTACTAGATGCTTTACATATAATTGTAGTCGCTCTGTATGATGTAGATTATGTGAAGGATGATGCCACTTACGAGTGGAAAGATCAATTGAAGATTGATATTTAGAACGCCGAAGATATTGATGCTCGTATTTTGCGATGTTATCTGCAATGCCAGCCAGACATTCTATGAAGTAAATATATCATTAAAGTTATAGCATAAAGTCAAAATCGTAGAACTTACGCTGCGTTCCACTAGATCTGAGTCACAGAAAGTTGTCCGTAAGTCATGCAGAATGTTCTCATGAAGCTTACTGGTCAAGTTAGTTGTGAGTGTCAGAATGTAGAGCTCCAATAGATAATTTATGTTTAAAAACAGTGTGAGGCACTCAGTGATGGGGGCATTTATCATTAACGGCTTTCCAAATAGCGCGCGACAGCACGAGTATCCAGTCACACAGGTCATACAAATAAGGAGCAGCAGCAGACTAGCCAGCGGATATTTGAAGATTTCGCAAAATTCGTTAATCATTCGGATCAGTTTATAGTACATTCGATGTGCTTCCAACATGTTCTGCTCTTTCCTTGACTTCCTTGGAAGTGGATCGGCATATAATAGGCTTATGTAACGCTGCAGCTTCATGAAAGTGTAGCAGATTTTCCAGATAATAAGAAACGTCAAGAAATATATGCCGTCTACAAAAATTTTGGAGCCAATTCCGCTAAGAAAGATTTGAAGTCCCTCGCTTCCAGTAAATGCGTGTGTAATGAATATAAATGCTCGTGGTAGCTGAAGCGACAATCTGATCCAGAAGAGCTTCCGCAGATATGGCTTTTCCGTTGGTAAGACGCAATAGTTAGATTCGGCTAAAAACTTGTCCACCTTAAGCAGACCCTGGACTATATTAAATATCCTGTGTTGCCAACGCTGAGCACAGTAAGTACAGCTCAGCAACGCTGTCAACCTGATGTAGGGATAAACCACGACTAAGAGAGTCATCAGTTGGGATCGAGTAGGATATGTTGGATTTGGTTGACCGTATACAATGAACTTAAAAGATACAATTGACAAGTAAACTAAGCAATATAGTTTGCCATAAAGGCACAAGCCGCGTGACCTAATCAGAGTTCCCGTGCGGCTATCAAAGTAGAATACAATGGTTCCACAGAACGCCAAAAAATATGTTAGCCCAGAGTAGATGAAGTGCTTGCCCGAAGACATTTTCACGGCGACTGCAAGTCACTCAGGTGAATGCATTACCTGGCATAAAATCAATTAGAAAAACTTATTTGATATTTGCGACAAGCGAATGAAAAGTTGAAAATAAATAGAAGTAGACAGCTTGATTAATTTAAACGACTTAGCCCCGATGCTGACAGTTGGCAAACAATGAGCAATAAATTTAATAATTTTAAACAGCGACTCTGCCTGTTCTCCACCAAGTACCAAATAATATATTGAATAATCGTATTTAAAGATCTTTAAGAATGATAAATGGTTTATTGTTTACTATTTAAAACTAATTTCTTTTACAATTTATTCAAGTCTAATCGGGCTGCAGTTAACCGAAATGGTAAAGTTCGTTCAGGAATACCCATTAGATCTAGTCTTCTATAGCAAATCTGAAGATTGATCTGATTCGCGTCTAAATACCTCTACTTAGCTGTCGCTTTTTGGAGTGAAAAATGCTTTCTTCAGCTTGTTATAGACCCTTCCACACAACCTTGAATTGACTTGCTGAGAAGCAAACAACAGTTCGACATTGTTGTTTGATCAATTGTTTTGATCTTCGAGCTGCAGACGTGGAATCGAAAAGCGGCACGACTCATTGCTATATTTGTCACATACCAAACTAAATGTAGACTACAATGGCTGGAACTGTCAATACCGTTGCAAGTCTGTGTCTTGCAACAAATTTGCTATCATAAATTAAGTGCACTCAGTGAACATGATACAAATGACATTATCCGTTGTGGCTAAGAGCTAAGGCTGGCCTGCTTTGGCGGTGCGACAGGGAAGGAGAGGTGTGTAGCTCGGTTGTGTGAGTGTGCCAGGGCACAAATGTGCCGTTGCCTAAGCAGTGGGCAAATTGACCTTTCGCTTTTTTGTTTGCCGGCTGCTGGAGCCAAGCATTCGGTTTCTTGTAATTTAATTGTCGACTGTCTGACCTTTTGCGCATGCGCGAAGCTGTTGTGGCTGGTGCTACTGCGCCGACTGCCGGTTGCCATTTCATGTGGATTTGAATATTTCACAGAGCTGGCACTAATTACAAACGTTTAAGCCCGGTCGAAGTCCTGGCCTATAATAAATTAACATTTCAATTGGGTGTGCAGCGAAATAAACGTTCACACAATTGCCAAAAATCGCTAAAAGTGAAAGGGCAAACATCAAACGGCTCTACCCGGGTCCCTTTAATCGGCTAAGCGGAAGAATAACCTTTCTAAGCGGCTGCAACGAAGTTGAACCCAGACACACGATTCGATTCATAGCCAGGTGGCTGCCCAGTCTTAGTAATATATATATATATATATATATATATATATACAAAGTTGTTGTTGTTGTTATTGGCTGTTGCGCGCCATGTGGCATGATCAGTGCGGGACTGTTAACTGGTCTCTCAGTGTTGATCTTCAATTAGTTTATTGTTCGCTTGGTCTTTTGCGCCATGTGAAGCAGGCGACATTTGCCGCCAGTTTTTACTATAAATTGCCAGAACGCCATCGAAACGTTTGCAGTTGTTGTTTCTTCTTCTGGTGCGCTCGTTGTTGTGCTCCCATCCAATCCAAAAGTCGGTTGGCCACATTCCAAGTGGTGTTCGGTGCTTGGACTCGTTAAAGGATAGACAAGTGGAGAGACGCGCTAGGACATCTAAGCGCTGCAATGCTAAAGGTGCGACTAAACAGTGCTAAGAGACGTGTTCAAATATTTACGTGGCTATAAAAAGAATCTGTATAAATTAAGCTTAAATGAAATTGCGAGTTAAACGAAAGCTAATCATTTGATTGTCTGAATTATAGATTTTTCTGTTGAGCGCTGCGCTGGGCATTGCCTGCGCTGGCGTTATAGGACCTGGGCCATATTATGGCGGCCCAGCTGGACCCTTGCACACCTATGCGGGCTATGGCCCCCATCCCGGAGCACCGCAATATGTGGCTCCAGGTGAGTTGCTGAAGCAACTAATAAAGCTCGAGTGATTCAGTTTCTTGTTTGTTCTTAGCTCCCAAGCCCGCTGCACCGGAACCATACGATGCTGATCCCAAGTACTCTTTTGGATATGACATTCAAGATGGCTATACAGGAGACCTGAAGAGCCAGCATGAGACACGGCACGGCGATGTGGTCAAGGGCAGCTACTCCGTTGTGGACCCCGATGGCACCAAGCGCACCGTCGACTACACAGCTGATCCACACAATGGTTTCAATGCAGTTGTGCGTAAGGAGCCGCTGGCTTACAAGCCGCTGGCTCCTCCAGCGCCTGCACCACATGCGCTGCTACCTGGACCGGCGCCTGCACCGCCTTTGCCAGCAGTGCCCAAGGCCTCGCTGCCCTTGCTCTCGTATCCCTTTGCTTTGACCGCCTTACACCGTGGTGGCCCAGGACCCGCTCCAGCACCTGCTCCTGCTCCTGCCCCCGCCCCAATACCCGTAGCGCCCGCTCAACTGCCCACCGCGCACTTCCAAGCAGCCTATCCAGCTCTGGCCCATTCGCCATACGCCCACTACCCAGCCGCCCTTCCCGCACCTGCTGCCGACCCCCACGCCTACTACCATCATTGAGTTCGAGAAGCCTCTGGCACCTAGAAGGCGATCTAGCACTACATCTTCCCCTGCTCTGTGCTTTGCTCTGCTTTCCCTGTCCATCTAACCAACTATTTCTTTCGTCCATTCTCATCTGCACTCTGTATCACTCTGTTCTCCAAAAGATTCACTCTATCCATGTTGTGTTCGTCATTGGATGTTGGAAGTACGTTTAAACATATATATATTTTGTTCACAATACGCGGGCTTATCTCATAAGTTTAACTTACTATAGGTTCATACACTTATATGGCATGTGTTGTTGTATTTCACGTCTTTGCTGCTAAGGTTTTTGATTTTGAAATAAAAACACATTTTATACGTCGAGCAATTTGAGTAGTTGTTTTCTGATTGATTTTCAGCCATTTGCAGGCGTTACTACGGTATGGATCTATACACAATGTGGAGCAACATTTAATAAAAAGCAACTATCAATGCTTAAAAGGCTTGTCGAATAAAGCAGTGTAGCCAAACTCAAAACCATTAAAAAGAATATTCTTTTTAAACAGGTCAAAAAAATAAAAAAAATTCTTCCCTTGTTTAATCCTCTTTACAGTCTATAAATATTTAGAACATTAATAAAATAGTAAAACCCTTTTTTTTTAACTCAATTAATGTGTTTTATTTTGTATTATTATTTTGTATTGTATCAACTTTTTTGTAATTTTATAATTTGCTTGTATTATATGATATAGTATAATTATTGGATTATGTATAAATATATGTATGTGTGTTTTGTATATAAACGTTGAATTATTATATGTTGATATTAGTTGAATTATTTTTGCATGTTTGCACATGTATATGTATGTATGTATATGCATGCTTTACCTATATGTATGTGTGTATATATATGTATATAGTCTCTACCAGTTGTAGAACAGATTGAAGTGTGTCACAACGCATCATAGATTTCATCTGCGTCATGTTACAAATTATATTTCATATATATATATATATAAGATAGATATTTGTTGCATTGGTCTTGCTGCATCAAACAAGATATACAATTTAATAAGATTATAGTCCTTAGTTTTGTAGTAAACGGTATCAAAAGATAGGTACAATTGAATTGGCCCGTGCTCATACACAAGCAACCACTAAAATCATTTTGGAGCCTTCGTTTCAGCGGCCTAATGCAACGAAAGAGCGAAAATTTTCATCAATTATTTTGAGATATAATTAATGCCCATTTAATTAAGGGTTTGGGCTTGGGGTGCGGCTGATGCTCGTCAATTGGACACAATTTCGCTAAATAAGCTTAGTATTAGTTAGATATATGAATAAGCTTCATACGTATAATGCATACGAGACATTAAGTTGCACTAAAATACTTCGAATATCCATGGTAAATACATAATCAAATATGGAGCTAATATAGCACGCAGTATAATTTGTATAATTTTCGTTGATTGTTTGGCTTTGTGTCTAAATTAATATCATATGATTTATATCTTGGCTGCTATAGGACAAGATATTTAGCATTTATCGTAGACAACCACTTGATGCACTGAAGACTATTTTGGGATATGCTTGAATTGCTTCACCTCTTATTTTAACTTGACTTAATTATTAATTAAATTTTTCTTTTAGTTTTTGCCTTTTGTAAATGAAAAGTTGTATCAAAGCTGGCAGCGTTTACTGTTGCGATTATGAAATGAAAGTTGTGGCTTGCCTTATACAGAGCTTTAGTTCGAGTACTTCGAATAGAATATGAATTTCTCTTATTATGATTGATGTTTTAGTACGAGCAATATGCAAATATTTAAATTCGTATTGAATATACTTTTAGTTTAATTTTAGCTTAATTTTAATTGTATTTTTAAAGTGTTGCATCTTTAGGGATATGTTCTCTAATAGTTTCATATGTTTATCCAATGATTTAAGTATTCTTTTGGTTCATTCGTTTTTAACTTGAAACGGAGGGTTTTAACTGTTTGATTGGTTATTGGTAGGACTTCATTCGGTTAAAAAAATATCCATAGTGGCTAGATTTACTACCCTGATTGTAAGTTGTGAGAAATTTCAAATATATGTGTGTGTGTGTAGTTGTATGTGTATTTTTATAGCTTTTTCCAAAGTCAGTTCTTATTGTGTGCGTAAACAAAATTGAATCTAACAAATTATTCAAGTCATGAAAAACTCAAATTATATTTTGTTCAATCTTGTTCAATGATATTTTAGTTGTTTGTTTAAAATGTTTTATTTTACTTATATTGTCGATATATTATTTATTGATTTTTAAAACCAATTAGAATTTTTGTAGATAATGATCCAGATTAAAATACATTCAGGATCTATTTCGAAGCTACTATTTATGGCTATGGATATGGTTATTCAAAGAGTTTTATTTCTGCTTTTGTCATTTTTTAATATTAAACACTTTCTTTGCAGATATATATTTATATGTATATATAAATAGATATATATATATTGGTATGTGTTGTGATTAAGTGAGTTCCATTTTCTTTAGACATCTAAACACGTAAGATTGGTTTGGTATTTAAAGCGCTTTGAGTTAGTTGTATCGGTTATCGGTTTCATCTATCGTACGCATAGATAAGATAAGAATGGATTTAATTTGACTAGTAGTATCTTTAGTGGATTTATATTGATTTATCTAGTAAATATCATATGTATTCGTTATGGTTCGATAGTAAAGATTATTAGAAAAGGTGGTCCATTTAGTCATCGTATTCAATCCTCAATTAATTGAAGTTGCTACAAATGAAATATGCTAAAAGTACGAAATAAATAAAACAAACAAAAACAAAAGGCAAACATAAATTGTTCAATAATGACTTATTTAATTAAAAACATTGCAGCACACTTTCAGTTAGCACGTACATTATAATACACAATACACATTAATGGAATATAATAGATTACAAAGTAAACTGAAATAAAAGTATCTTTGATTCTGAGTGAGCGGATGATAAGAACTCCTATAAGACATGCAAAAGCAATTTTCTGTCGTATATCTAGCAAGGAGAAACTCGAAATTGGTTTTTTATCTATTGTTGCATTGTTTTGAAAAAAGTGCTTCTATAACAGATTTGCTAACAGAAGTGCTCGCAATTGATTGATTAAGATATTTCCTTTTATATTAGACTCTTAACTACACTTTATATTTCTGCATTATTTTCAGCTTTTAATATGTATTGTTCACTTAATATTGATATATTTTCATAACTAATAAAAAACCTTTAGCTTTCCGCTTCTGCTCCAGCCTCAGCTTCTTTCCTTTCTTTTATATTTTATATATATATTTATATGTATAAGTTGCGTTTTGTAATTATTTATAGTGATATTTATATATGTATATATATAGATATATGTATACTGTTTAGAGTTTGCTTGCACGCCAGCCATTATAGTGAAGTATGCTTAAGTTGTTTTTCTGATTATGATTATATTTCTCTGCTTTTTTCGTATTGCCTGGCTTATGTAAGTATCGAAAGTTATTTCCTCATGTCCACACAGGTTTTTTCCGTATTTGTGGTCGTCGTCGTCGTTGTATTTGTAGTCGTGCTGCTGCTCGTCTCCTCCAAGTCCTCGTTGTTGGGCTCGATTTCCTGTTCCGTAATGACAGTGACCAAATTATCCGCTATTTCTGTTTCCAAATAGAGAAAAGCATAGTTTAAACAATCGTCGACCAGCACATGAATATGCAACATTATATATTTCAATGGTTGACAACAGAAATGTTTGTATTACCGCTTACATTCCGAACGCTCTAGCCAAGATCTGTAGTCATATATTGTGGGCAATGATAGAGGGAATTAAGCAAGAGAAAGTTCACATTAGTTTTTCGGAATAAATTGACTTTGGCCATGAAACACAAAATGCACAAACAACAACATCGAAAAGCAAATGCAACAAACGCTTAAATCAAGCAACGAAATAAAAATCCATCAGAACTTTTCACTTTAAGGAAACAAAGCGTCGCTACAACTGAATCAACTGAGAAAACCAAACTACAAAACTCAACCAAAACAAAAAAGAATCAAAAATCGTTCCGACAATTTCCGCACCATTCATATGCTGCTGCAGCAGACTGGAGTGTGGCGGAGGTGGCGGACGTCCGTCGTCCCCTAAATAGCCGGACGTCTGCATTCCACTGCTGGACATGTCAATGCCCCCGTTGCCGGTGAGGATGCCTCTCTGCTGTTGCTGCTGCTGCTGCTGCTGATGCAGTGCATTCAGAGCTCCGCTCAGTTGGTGCTGATGATGCTTGGCGGCCAGATTGGCTAGCTGTGGATGCTGCTGCAGCTCGTTGCTGAGGCCGGGCAGCATAATGCCCTCTAAATGTGCGTTAAAGGATACGGTCAAAAGTTTGTCATGCAAACAGAGGGTGACCAAACAGGAGTAAGAGTAAGGAAAATGGCAAGTCTGATTAAATACTTTAACACCTGAAAGTTATCGAAGACTTAAACAGGTGCTGAAGTATAGTAATCAGAAATAGTATTACTCTTGTCTGGCCACCCCTGAGTCAGTATTCAAGCAGATGCAGAGGAATCGTAACTTTAGCTGAAGCTGTTAAATGCGAATTGCTATCGTATATATAACACCTATAACGGTATAGCTAAGCCTGTTCCTATGTTGTCTGCCGCGCCGTACTCACTTGAATTGTGGTCGTAGTGGCCATTCTGTTGGTTCATCTTGGCCGGGGAGTCGGTGTTCAGCTGGGAGGCAGTTACCGAGCGTGTTTGAAGAGTGTTTGGCTTGGAATTGAGTGCTGAGCCGGGCGCACTGGGCAGGCCGCTGCTGGTGGCGCTGCTGCCGCCGCCGTTTGGCTCGTCGAGCAGCTGGCGCAGCCGTTGCAGTTGTGCCTCCAGCTGGCGATTGTGATCCTCGAGTATTTGCATACGCGCCTCCAGGCGACCCTTGTGCTGGCGCAATAGCTTTGCCTCGGCCATCATATCCTGGCAAAGAGCAAAAGTTTGATTTGTGCCTGTTGCTGTGATCTATGCCTGATCTTACCTGGCCATGCTCGCCCTGAGTGGACAGGCCCGTCATGCTGGAGCTGCTGGAGTGGTGCATGCCGTTCGAGTCGTCAGGCGTGCCGCTCTGCTGTTTGGTGCACAGCTGCTGGTATTCGGCCTGCAGATTGGCGTTCTCCTCCTCAAGGTCGCGTATGATGGCCTCCAGCTCCTCGCGCTGCTCCGCATCCATCGCGGCCATCACCTGCACCGGCGATTTGGGCGCGCTGCCATTGCTCGTGGGCAGCGCCTGGCAATACTGCGCGATTAGCTGATGCTCATCGTCGCTGTCGGGCGTCGAATTGGAACCAGTCCCACCGTATTCAACTTGTGCCAACCGCGACGCATACATCTCCAGGCGAGAGTGCATGTCGCTTTGCAGCTGATGCGAGGTGTGCTGTGGACTGGGCGCCGGGCTCTCGAGGGCATCCCCTGTTGTACATGGATGGGAATTAGTAAAAGTGTAATGCAGGCATGGTGCTTCCGCTGCTCACCCTCTAGAACACTCTGCACGGGCAGATAGCCGACGCGTGGATGCTTCTTAAAGTATTTGCGACTCTTGAATTTGTTTTTAAGGGCGCGCGTGAAGTCACGTACGTCCTCGGTGGATGTGGTCTAAGGAGTGAAATATAAGATAATCGGTTTGTGATAGTTGTTCATTTTTCACTTGGCAAATTCATTAAGCATACGCACCGTTGTGCAGTACTCGTGCATGGGATGGGTTAGCTTGTGGTTCTTGGCATTTCGTCCAAAGAAGAAACACTTTTGGCACATGTCAAAGTTGAAGCACTTGAGGCAGCGATAGCGGAAGCCGACAATTGGATACTCTTTGCATATGTTGCACTTGGCCTGATGCTTGGCTGCCTCGGCGGCAGCCAGACGATGCAGCACTGGCAGCCAGACCAGACTCTGCGGCTCGTGCTGCAGCCAGCCGAGGAAGTGTTGCAGCTCGATTGAAATTTCCTGATTGCCATCGATGGCTTCCTGTGATATGCCGGCCTGTTCCAAGCACGACCGAACCGAGGGCTCAATATTAGAGCCACCAAAAGCGGCCACCTCGCCCAATTGCCGCGGAACCTAAGTAAGGCATTGAAATTATGTTTCCAGTTCCATTCTCCAACGGCCAACACTCACCTGTATGCAATCGTGCAGCAGCAGTCCCAAGCGTCGCTGATCCGCTCGCCGCTCGGTATCGGCAACCAAGCGGAATAGATAGCGATACTTCTCTTCGAGATGGCCCCTGCAGAGCAGCACGAGGCCCACCTTAAAGCTGAGCACCCGTATTTGTCCGGTGCGCTGCGAGTCGTACACATTCAGTATCCAGTTGATGGCCAAGTCGAGCATTAGCGTCAAATCAATTTTATCGATTGTCACATAGAGCGAATGCAGCACCGTCGTCATGTCCGGTATGTCGATAAGCTTGTCGTTCTGGGCCCGAAGTCCATGGCGGTCAAACGACTCGCAGGCGGTGGCCATTGAGATGCGATCCAGTGCTGAGATTGGAAATGTTGCAAGATTTTCAAATATGTGATTAATATAATTATAAATATATGAAGAATATATATATATTAATAACAGTTGATAAGTGTGTTAGGTTCAATTTGTTTGACCTACCCAATCGCTTTTGGACAGCCCGTAGCTTCATGGCTGTGCGGTAGGCTGAGAAGCGAATTTCGTTGAGGTCCGCTAGGCCCTTCATCAGCTCGATCATCTCCGGGTGGTCCCAGTGTGTGGTCTCTCGTTCATGGCTGTAAGCAGATTAACGGCTCGAGTTTAGCTCTGAATGGCTCCTGTTTTTGGCGAAGGTGGCGGTACTCACTCGATGTAGTAAGGCACGTTGGCGGCAGTTGTGGCACGCTCCCAGGGCGGCTTAACACTTTGTCCCAAATTGGGCAATGGCCCAATGGTGCCACTGTTTGATGTATTGCGTCCATCGTCCCCGTTCTCGTGCGCATTATTCGCACCCGCCTGGCACAAAACCTTCTGACGTTCGTCCATCGCAATGTGCAGCAACTTCATGCTGTAACCAAAAATCGGGCAAGCGAAAGAGTGAGTGATGGGAGCCCTTTCTCTGTGGCAGCGCACACTTACCGTGTATTCAAATCCTCCAGCTTAGACAAACACGGGGTCGGTACAAGCACCTGGTTGGCGGTGAAGAAGGATTGCTGCTCGTTGCAGTCGTCTAACAGGGCACTGGCCGTGGTCATCTTGTCCCGCAGCCGTTGTAGCTGCTGCATCTGCTCATTAGCCTCGCCCACTGATGGGGGCGTCTGCCAGGTGAGCTGTGTTTGTTCAGCCAAAGCGACACGGGAGGTCAAGTCCTCCAGCACCTTTTGGAATTGGCGCATTTTCTGGAAGAAACAAGTTAAGAAATTTGCCAATTAGCAAGGGTCATTTATGGGCCTGATAGCAGTTATAAATAAATTATTTATGGTAAAATAAATTGTGATTTATGAGTCTTATTGTATAGCAAAGGTTAGAGCTGAAATTCGTAAATTATATTTTATACGGGCGACCAAATAAAAGCAATAGGAAAATAAATTGCAATAAAATGAAATTGGTTTTAGATATTGTTGGCTTCGACTTTATTTTAAAACTACATCCAAGCCATAATATATGGAATGGTACAATACATTTACTATATAATTTCGGATTACGTTTTTGAGTTCCATACTATATGCTACTAAGCAGCTAAACTCAATCTCCCTTAAAAAGTTGATTTGAGATCCGAAAGAGTGAGATGAAACTTTCAACTGTATGCTGAGCTGCCTGCCTGCCTGAACTAATGATATCTGACGAGGGAGTTCATTGAAAATAGTTTTTTATTATTTCCAAACTTTCTGCAAAGGTTAAATGATTGAGGTTAAATGCCATACCAATTAGAATTTTTCAATAGCTGAATGTTATTAACAGCTCTGAAGTAGTCTCACAGATCATTATTCGAATGTCTTCAATGTAAGTTAAGGTTCTTAAATATTTCAATTTTCGCATAGAGAATAAAATTTAAATTTACTCAAGAACACATTTTGGCATATTAAACACAAGCTTTATAATAATTAGCTCTGAAGCTTAAGATGTATGTAAACTATGTATATGCGACATTTATGGATTGCTTTTCATATTTTAAATTAGTTTTGGGTGAAAGCTGTAGAGTTTTTCCTATCCATTGTCTCGGCTTGTATATTGGCGATGTCTCAGCTGGCTCGCTTAATTGTCTGAAAGCTGTGTGTGGCTGCCGCATTACGCATACGCCACGCTGCGCGCAGTGCTCGAGCCAATAATGCGGTAATGGGACGTTGTGCGACTTCAGTGAAGTGAGCCTTCATTTAAAGTTGGGCATAAGTTAATCAGAGTCTGTATTTATGCTGCTTTTATGTCAGCGTCCCTGTCGCTATCGCTGTCGCTGTCGCTGTCTCTGTGAGCAGGCTCTTCATTAGCAGTAAAAGGCAAAAGGCGCGCCATAATTTTTAAGCGACAGCAGGAAGCAAGCTTTGCGCCAGGTGGAGCCATGGATGCTGCTGTTGCCAGGCAGCAAGTGGCAACGTTTTATTTCGCACATTTTCATCATTCTCGCTTTGGCAGACCATTTGGCGGGGGCAGCTGGAGTTTGCAACAAAAACTTTCATTGCTGTCATTTTGCATGCAACAAGCAAAATGCATTTACCTTCAACTTTCAACTATGCCACAGTCGCCAGAATGGCTGCATGCAGCATGCAGCATGCAGCATGCAGCATGCCATGCTCGCAATTTACTCTATTATTTCATTTAGTTATAGTTTTAGTTATTTGCTCGCATACTTTTTTTTCGCACTGTAATTCGATTTTCTGAAAGTTTGTGTTTATGATTTTAAACTTTGCCGCTTCTGCTGGCGCCCAGAGGCAAGTTTCTGCTTTATAATGCATGCAGCGGCAGTTTCGGATGTGTTCAACAGTCTCGATTCTATGCTGCAAGGTGCACATGAGCGACAGATGACGACGGCACTGAAAGCCATTTTAACTTTTAATATACATTTTAGCAAGTTCTAATAAAATGTTATTCACGTGCTTTGTTTGCCTTTAACGGAGTTGGTATTTTAAAAGTTTCGAATGCATGTTTCAGTAGAAATTTGAAAAGGTTTCGTTTTATGGGATTAATTGTGTTTGTCTCTTTACATGCATCAAAGTCTGTAACTTTGTTCACTTTAGAGAAGACTTCCTTTCGTTCATATGGCAAAACATGTTTGCTTTGGGGCTCCTCAATTAGGAATATTTTATGTTGCAACATAACTGCAGCTACAGCTCTCAATTGCTTCTTTTGTGTTGTAAAGTTTTGTGCTTCGACTAATTAAGTGTAAACATGTTCTGAAGTTGCAATTAATTGCGCATTTGTTGCCACAAAGAAGCGCAGCAGCGAGCGCTTTGCATTTCTGTTTAATTAGCCAAAAGAGGCCAACAACGGCAAAGGCAAGCGAAGTGAGGACGCGATGCTGACGCTTGGCTTTTCGCCGCAAGCAGTTGGCCGCGGCAATCAATAATTTCATGTTTACAATAAATATGCAGCCTGCTCGACTCCCGCCCACCTGCCACAGCTGGCGCTGCACTAATTAGTGACAACAAAGACAAGCAACTGTTTGATATCAGAGCAGCCCGATATGGAACTTCAGGGCAATGCACCTTTGGGGGACGTTGTCTAGAAGCCCGTGCAACTTTTTCAGTTTTAATCAATGGCAACAAAGCAAAAAAGCCTCAAAGATGCGTGAGAGTGGGCACGGAATCCTTGTAAGGCCAACATGGCCGCCAGCTGGGCGGAGTTTCGCCTGCCTTTTGTGCACTCGAAGCAAATGCTTAAAATATACATTCAACCTGCATCAAATTATGCTCGAGTGGCGACTGCCTCCTCCTGCCAGCCACTGTCCAGCTAAGCCACAGAAGTTGTCCACATACTTTCTATGGCATCTCAGCGAAATGGCGAATGGGCGAACTAAGCAATGCCAGAGGGTGCAGTGAAAAGTTTCCAGCCCAGACTAGAGCTAGCAGCTGCAAGTCGCAAAATGTTGCAATTTATATATAGAATTTGTTAAAGGTAAATTTAATTTTGCCTAATCAAATTGACAAAAGCTTAGGCCCCCTCGTTCTACGATTCACATTTAAGTATTTGCCCTGTAAATAAATCACAAATTAAGCAAAAAATAAATTTTGCATATAAATATCATTTAATACAATTTCAATGGCAATTCGATTCCAATTAGAGCGTTCTAATTGGACGCTGCATGCAACCACTCAAGTATTTTGCAAATGCAAATAATTTTACTACACAATTGCCCTGGAATTATCAATGATTGTTGATGTCCAAATATAAAGGGAATATTTAATTAATATTTAATGCCTTCAGCGAAGGAATGTAGCTGCAATCTCCATCTAATTATGCATATTCGAGCGAAGCCATTGATGGCCTGTGGCCGAACTTCAATCGAGTTAGGGTAGACTAAGGAATGCGCTTAATTAAAACTATAAGACTTAACTATTGCTGCTTATTAAACTGCATATGGGAGGCAGCTATGCAACATGTTGTTAAGCGGCAGTTAGCCAAGGCACAAACCTCATTTTCATCGCGCAACATGCCAACAATTTGAAGAAACATTCGCTCCGCATCGTTCTGGGGATCGCAGTTGGAGTAGGTGTCGTCCATGAGGGTGATGTCGCCGATGCGACAGTGCAGCTGCTCCTCGGACGAGGAGGAGTACAGCGACAACATGTTGCGTCGTCGCTGCTCGTGCGCAACATGTTGCAGAGCAGCATCAACGACTAGTGAACGTGACGTCAACTGCGATGGTTGCGTAGCTGCCACCGCTGCTGATGCTGCAGCAGTTGCCGCTGCCGCTGCTGCTGCTGTTGATGTTGTTGCTGCTGCTGCCTCGTCATCAGCATCTGCCTCATCGCAGCCGCTGCTGCTGAGTTGCGAGTAACTGAGGCTCAGTTGACTGCACCCGTCGTGGTCCTCCTCATCATGATCCAGATCCAAATCAAGTTCCAGCTCATGCTCCAGCTCAGTGCCGCCGGTGCCGCTGTCGCCGCTTTGAGAGCTGGCCTTCGCTTGGCCACTGGCTGTCGCCGTAGTCGCTGCGGCTGCGTTGGCCACCACCACAGCCAGATGATTGTAGGCCTGCGATTCGCCGCTGCTGCTGCTGCTGCGACTGCGTCGCTTCATCGAGCGAAACGGCGACAGCAAGCGACGACGCGTGCTGCCCGTGGGCGTGGCATAGGGCGGCTGCTGCTGCTGCTGCTGCTGCTGCTGTTGGGACGGCGCGCCTGCATAGCGTTCCAATGACCTTGACTTGCTGTGATTGCTGTAGATCGTGGCACCAACATTACTTCCAGCCTCGCCAGCTCGTCCGGCTGCCATTCCCGCTCTCGCCGTCTGCCTTTGTCTTCTGCCAGCGTCGATGTGCGCGTTCTCTATAATTTCGCCTGCCTCGTCGCTGGAGCTGTGCGACAGTGTCGCTGCCGGCGCTGTTGCAGCAAATAGGCGCATAGTTGTTGCTCTTATTGTCGATGTTGCTGCCGATGTTGTTGCTGCTGCTGCTGTTGCTTGTGTCTTGTGTCGGGTTAATTAATCTTTCTACTATTATGCAGATTTCAGGTTTTTGTTTTGTTCTTAGGCACTTGGCTGCATCGTTTTAGGGCACATTCTTGCGTAATGAACGTTTCTATTTTTATAGACCGGTTAGACAGGATTGCCTGCGTTTCCTTTTCCTATGCTGGACAAATATGGCAACGCATTAGGTAAACAACTACACACACTCGCTATCGACGGCTCAAATAAGCCACTCAATTACGCCGAAAATTTCTCAGGGCCCCCCGCTCTGTAAACATGGCCTAGCGTTAATTATCCAGACATCATGGAATGTTTATTAAACACGTTGTTGTTGTTGATGTTTGTGGAGTCGACAAAGGTTGTCGGCTGCATTTTGTTTGCACAATTGCTGGGCGTGTGTAAATTATGTTGGGCAATATTTGCCCATAGATAAGTTCTTCAATGTTTCAGACACCAAGTTGAGATGTTCTACAACGAACCGTGACATTGTCGCTGTCAGAGTTTCCGACAAATATATGACAATGTTGATTGCCGGCAAGAGGATGTTGGCGGGGCAGAAAGACAGAAAAGGTGGGAAAGGTTAATGGAACGACACCAAGTGTATGAGAAAGTGAGCCAAGCCTTAGGCGAAGGCCATGAATAATGTAAATTTAGCCAACAAATTTGAATATGAGAGCTATTCAATTGACCTGAGCTAATACCTCAAGAATCTAAAGCGAGGCTTCATAACACTTCTACCTTATAAGCAGCTCAAACATACACGAATACAGATAAGAGT